AATAAAAATAAAATACTCAAAATAAAAGAACCCAAATATTATATAAAATACTCAAAATAAAAGAACCCAAATATTATATTATTGTTAGTAGAAAGAACCCAATTACATTTGTTAATATTCTTTTAAATGAATTCATATCTCTATCATGAATATTCTTTTAAATGAATTCATATCTCTATCATGGTTTTTCTCAGTTACTAGAGGGTGGCTTAGAAGTTTTTCCATCTTTACCCAACAATATAGTTTTGGGATTTGGTTGATGCATTTCAATTTTGTCGGATGTGATTTTTTCTGTACATATTGTTGAATATGAAACAGAAAAATATTATGAGTAAAATAAAAGAGAAATCAAAGTGAAATTCAAAATCAATTAGAAGGATCACTCGGGTAATTAATATATTCATTATATCGTTGGTCCCTATAATTTGTTTTGAATTTTATTTTGATCTTTCTAATTTTGCACTTAGTTTTTTATGTTCCAATTGTTAACAATATTTGACACAAATTAAAATTATGATGACTAAAATGACACTTTACGTAAATTACAGAGACCAATGATTTAATTTACAATTTAATTAAAAAAATTTCTCTCTTTTGTAAGAGATAATTGAACAAGTATTCTAACATGAATAATATGGAGTAGTACTCTAAAAACACTAAATAACTGGAAATTTAAAATTCAAAACGAACGGATCAAGGACTGAATTTTTTATTTGTTATTATTTTTGTGAAGATTGCCTGACAATCATTATAAAAAAATATATATATATCTTTTTCACATAGCCTTTTTTTTTTTTTTTTGGCCTTGATTTGATTTTGTTGTTTGTTTTATTTTCTTTGTCTTGGGTTACAAGTTGATAGCTTGCCAACGGGTAGCCTTGGATCCTCCCAAAAATCAAGATAGGGAAAGTGGTAATGTTTATTGGGTAAATTAAATTGGTAGCTTTTTTATTTTGTCTCATATATCATTTTGATTTATAAATTTATAATTGATTTAATTTTAAATTTTGTACTGATTTAATTTTAAATTTTGTACTAATTTAATTCAATTAATAAAGCCAATTAGTGTTTTTAAAGTAAAATCGTTAATCAGATGATTGAGATTGACTCACTTAGTTAAGAAAATTTATAATTTTGTTTCTGAAAGTGTAACTCACGCTACTCATGTGCGCACTTTTCATAATTAAAAAAAAAAAGAAGAAAAAAGTTAATGATTGCAATCAATTAGGTTAAATTGAGACAATAAAAAATTTAAAATCTTAATTAAAATTATAAAGATCGAAATGACACTAAAACCAAACTATAAAAACTAGTGATTAAAATTTGCGCATGTTTATTTTCTTATTATAATGAGTAATGCTGTTTGTTTGGTATGCATGAGGCTTTTCTCATATCACACGCACAAGCATATCATGCCAATTACTCATTTTTTTGAATCAAATGTTTGTCCCCTCCTTTGTCTATGGAATTTTTGTAGATGAGTTTCCTATTAATCTTTGTGGAAAGAAGTGTCAAAATTTACAAATTTTTATCAAATGATTTTGTATTTTCAAAATAAGAAAGTGTGAATGTTTACGCATTTTTTATTGAAAGAATCTTTTAATTTCACTATAAAAAAGGATTGTTTCCAAAAGTAATTATCAAAAATAGTTTATTAAACAAAATTTTCATATCAAGTTCTAATTTTCTTTTTCTTTTTTTACCAAACAAAAATGCTAAAAAGGTCCAATTATTTAACAGGATATTTAATCAGGAACATATCCAAAATTTAAACTTTAGGGGATAAAAATACACATAACTTTTCATCGAAAATAAGTATTTTAAAATTTTAAATTTTAATTTATACCAACACAAAAAGTGAATAATATTAGTATTAATTGAATATTTTTTATCAACATAATTGAAAATAAAAATATAATCAAGCATTTTTTTTTGTTTACATTAACTTTAAAAAAAATCTTAACTACTATTATGTCTACTCTCCCTCTATTAAAGTTAATTATCTGAAAATATAATATTTTTTTTCAAACTTGAGAATTTGCTAGTGAAAATGTAGAGAAATGATTGAGAAACTGCAGAGAAAGGTTATGGGCCATGTATAAAATAGACACCATTCCTTAATGCTTTTTTTCAATTTTTTTAAATTATTTTTTTTAGTAATTTCTTTGTCACTACTCTCCCTATATTAAAGTTAATTATCTGAAAACATAATTTTTTTTTTTCAAACTTGAGAATTTGCTAGAGACTTGCTTAATGCTTTTTTTCATTATTTTTTTTTTTGGTAATTACTTTGTCACTACTTTCTTCTTACCGTGTGAGACCCACCATTATAATTCATTTCCAACTTATTTTCATAATCCATATTGATGTTATGTTTGTGAACATCAAATAGCATATAGAAAAAAGGGTTAATTACAAAAATAACCCCAAGATTTTATGCATTTTTCATTTTAAGTTGCAGTATTTTAATTTCGATAAATTTAACCTTAAAATTCTATACATGTTTCAATGTACCCCTTCGGTCCATCTCCTTTTGTGTTGGTAATGGAGAATCATTTTGGGATTTCAATTGAAAAATACTGGATAAATTTTGGGATTTCAATGGATAAATTTAACCATTTTATTAGTCCATTATTACATTTTTTTGTTGTCCCAAAATATATATCTACTTTGAAAAGTCAAAATTTTAAAATTTAAAAATAAAAATAGAAGGGTATCTTTAGAATTAATTATTTAAAATTTGAATTCAAAATTACATTTCTTTAAAAAGTTTGAATTTTAAAAAATGGACTATCAATGTAGGGCAGACGAAGTAAAATTTTGATTTCGTCCCTATTTTTGATGACTAAAAATAAATATATTTTTTAACTTTTTACAAAAAAATATGTAAAAAAATAGAGATGTGATTTGACACAAATAAATGCACTTATTTAGTTTATGTCAAATAGTGTCTTAATCCATTAGAGTATTGATAAGTGTCTTTTACATTTCAACTAGCCCTTCTTCCATAGTCATCAAAATTAGGAATGAAATTAAAATTTTATCATTAGAAGAGTCAAAATTTGAATAAAAAAATTACACTATATATACAAGCACACATGTACATGTACATCTACAATAAGAAACATAAGTTATATATATATATATATATCCACCCCAAAAAAAAAAAAAAAAAAGAAAAAAAAAGGGAACCAAGTTACACGCGTTTTTCTTTAAATCCCAAAATTATTCTCCATTACCTTGCACAAATGGAGATAGATGAAGAGACACATTGAAATACGAATAAAACTTCAGAGTTTAATTTGTCAAAATTGAAACACTAGGTTTAGGCCAAGTTTGGCATGAGGCAAAAAAGACAAAAAGTCAAAAAGTCACTATTGAAATACGAATAAAACTTCAGAGTTTAATTTGTAAAATTGAAACACTAGGTTTAATGTGAAAAACATGTGAAAACTTTGAGGTTTTTTTTTTATATAATTAACCAAAAAAATAATAATAATACAAAAAAAGAAAAAAGAAAGAAAAAAAGAACAAACAGAGAAGAAGAAAGTAAAACGTGAACACAATAATGGTGGGTTAGAAAGTAATCACAAAAACATTTACAAAAAATAAAAAGAGATAGGAAAAAAATATGGTAAGTCTCTTTCTTTGAAATCAACAACAATGGTACACACACACACACACATATATATATATATATGGATAAAACTCTAGGATTTAATTTGCCGAAATTAAAACATTGAGATTTAAAGTAAAAAATGCATAAAACCTCAAAGTTTTTTTTTGTAATTAACCCAAAAACAATCATATACAAATATTTTTCTCCAAAAAATTCACAAAGATACATATATATATAAATACTCTTTCTAAAAATCACTTCTTTCAAATAAATATCATTTCTAAATAAATATCAAAGGGCTCAATTTTAAAAATAATGAGAAAGATAAAGGCATACAATTTTTTTTTCCTTGAAACATAGTCCAACCCAAACTTGTTGGGGTTTTACCCAAACAAGGCCCAAATCCTGAGCGAGGCATCCCAAGTGAGACTGGGCCTAGAATTTGAAACTCAGTCTGGCCCAAGCTTGTTGGCCTTTTACCTAAACCGAGCCCAAATCTTGGAAATGTCGATTGAAGTGAGACTAGGCCAAAAATTGGGCCTCAAAATTGAAACCCAACCCTGCCCAACCCCGTTGGGCTTTCACCTAAACAAAGCCTAAATCCTGGACTGGCCAACCCAAGTGAGATTGAGCCTTAAATTTGAAACCCAACCTGGCCCAAGCTCATTGGGATTTTACTCAAACAAAGGCCAAATCCTCGATAGGCCAGCCCAAGTTAGACAGAGCCTGGAATTGGGCCTTTAACTTGAAACCTAACCTGGCCCAAGCTCATTGGGCTTTTACTCAAATAAAGCCCAAGTTCTGGACATGCCTACACAAGTGAGATTGGGCCATAAATTTGAAACCCAGCTCAGCACAGCCCAACCCATGAAAAATTATGACAAAAAAAAAGTGAAGAAAATTATTTTAAAAAGGACTCAAATCTTGGGCTAAGCCTGTAGGCCAGGCCACAAGCCCATAGAGGCAGCCTCTTGGCCCACTCATCAATCCACCATGCAAGCTCACTTAGGCTTAAGGTTTTGGCCTGCAGCCCAATGAACGAGCTTCACACATTGTCAACTTTCTACACCAAACAAGCCCATTATCATGGTGCGAAAGAATGGTCCATAAAATAATTGTGCTGATCTCTCTCATGAGCAAAAATGAACATCTTTCAAGTTTTAGGTTTGCCTTACTAACCATTTGAAACATGACAAGTCACTTGAAAGAAGAAAATAAATAAACCAGTTTAATTTACTTTCAAATTTTAAATTTCTTATCAAAATCTTAGTGCGCATGATATTTTATCCTATACTTTCACTAACATCAGTTCGTGTGGCAAACTGGTCGATGTCGGTCTTATTTTGCTGTTTTGTAATCCTAAGAATTGAGACCTGCATAAAAACAGATGAATAAAACAAATAAGTTTCGTATAAATAAAAAATTAAACACATAATTAGGTTTGAGTTGCGGCATGCTTGTCTCGTCTCATGTAATCAGCAAAAAAATCGATAAATGTAAACCAACATAATATAACATGATATGGACACGAAAAAGCAAAAAAAGGAAGAACCAAACAGGACAAACTAAAAACTATTGCATGCCACCATTACAATTATGACTGATACGAAATGCACAGTTCAAATACGAAATGCAAATATCTTGCAGTCCGTTTATGATATGCTCTTATATAAAATACATCTTCAATTATAAAACAAGAAATCATTATATATAGTAAATGTTAACAAACACTTCACACCTAATTAATACACAACGTATTGGTTTACTCTCAATGAGATGATTCACCATTAAATGAATGAGATGATTCACCATTAAATGTCATCTGCAAGGATCGACTGAACTCGCTGAGATCTCAAAATCTGATCTAAATATATCAATTGAAGAAGAAAATTCATATGCAACAATAAAGGTTTTGAAATATTATTCCGCTCCATAGAGCTTCCAAAATAACCCATTCCAAAAGACAAGGAAGTGTAGGCTGATGCAATCTCTATAGCTTTCAGCTTAGGTGAAGTCTCGGGAAGCTAAATAGGAAACAAACAAATAATAAGTCGTTTTTTTCCTTAAAAAAACCATTAAGGTTGAGGGTTGGGAGCTCTCGCTATTATAGGAGCCTCGGCTTGAACAACTAGAGTTCCGGCACTTTTATTAGGACCGTGTTCGCTACTATCTTGCATAATAGAGCATAAAACTTTCATGCAAGCAGAGCCCGGACCTGCCTGCAACCTGTGCAACAAAAATAATAACCATGTTAGATTCACAAGCTGGGGGTATACATAAATGGAAACAAAGAAAATGATTTTAGGAGACTTGTGACCATTTTCTCAGTGTTAAGGATCATCATAGTTTTTCTCTCTAGAATGAACACAACATCTACGACCGTCTTCGACCCCAAAGAAAAATCTCAAGAAGAAGAAGATCATCTAATTTGCAGTACCAAGAAGATCAAAAGCAACGATTCAATGGGGAAGGAATAGATGGAAACCACTGAGGAGGTTTCCCCTCCGCAAAATCTCTCACCCCCACCTCACACATCTAGCCCTAAGATGATGGCTACACCAGTTGAGGGGCCAAAGGTTAAATCGTTCAAGGATGCCCTCACTACACCCAGAAACGAAGACTTCTACTTCGATGAGCTTGAAGACATCATCAATACTGAGAAAGATGAGGATGGAGACACAGACATCCAAGATGGACATCATTCACAGAGGGAAGATGGGATACCCCAAATCGCCCTCCCAAAAAAATTATTGCAACAAATCCAACAACCTTGGGCCAATGCACTGCTCATCAGATCACTTGGGAAGACTATTAGATATAGCATGCTCTGTTCTAGAGTCAAAACACTCTGGAGGCTACAAGATGATTTCAATGCAATTAATCTGGGCAACAACTATTTTTTATTTAAGTTCTCATCTCAAGAGCACTGTGTCATGGTGTACTCAGGAGGTCCTTGGGTAATCATGGACCATTATCTTACAGTATGCAAATGCGAGCCTAACTTCAAGGCATCTGAAGCCTTTGAAACCACCACAGCTGTTTGGGTTAGGTTTCCAGAGCTTCCGATTGAATATTTTCAAGAAAAAATTTTATACACCATCGCGAGGCAATTACGGAAATCTCTGAAGATTGATCTCACCATTGCCATGGCCACAAGAGGGCGATTTGCAAGAGCTTGCATTGAAGTGGACCTGAGAAAACCACTGTGTCCCAGATTCATTTTAGGTAAGAAAAGTTACAATATTGAGTATGAATCCATTCATTCATTTTGTTTTCATTGTGGCAGGGTAGATCACCGCAAGGAGCTCTGTAGATTCAAGGTAGCACACCGAACAAAACAGGTGACCCAGACCTCTAGCTCACCGCCGACAAGAGACCCACAAACAGTTGCTGAGACCTCCCAAACATCTCTTTCCGTGGACAACGGTAACCCGCACCAGATTGGGTCAGAGGAAGGGGACAAAGCTTTTGGGCCTTGGATGCTTGTACAAAAAAAGAACCGGCGCCCAATGGCCTATGAGAAAGTTCAACATCATGAGGCCAGCCCAAACTCCAACAAATATGCAGAGTTAGGTAACACTAGCCAACAGGAGGAGGCCCATACTAGAGGTAAAAAAAACTACAAGATCAGGCCAAGAGAAAGAGGCCTATAAGTCCAACCCAACCTATAAACCCACCACTCACAGTCAAAACAATCCAAGCCCATCTAAAGACCTAGTAACATCTTCGCAGATTGTAGCACCTGAACTACAAGCCCACTCATCTGTCATCTCACATCCCAAAGATACAAACAACTAGGATAAAGACCCCCTTATTCCTGATAGTGTACCTACCCAACCTGCCAAGCCTACTCCTTTGCAAGTAGATTTGCAATCCTCAAAAATCCCGATGGAGGAGCTCCTTGATGATAGCATTAACACACCCCTACCACACCCCATCAACACAAGTACTCCCCTAAACCCTCCACACATCCTTACCACAAACCTTCAAGCATCCTTGAAAGATGGAGACTCGCGCCACAGCAAACAACCAACGAAACCTACCATGGAGATCGGGAAAATACCACTACCACAGAGTTTGGTGCACAAGATGGAGGGCAATACGTTGAGCCTTTTACTAGAACCAGGTATAGAAGCAATTCACTGCGTAGACACAGTCTGGTGGATCGAACAGTTAATGGTGAGAATCGAACCAAGTTGGAGCACCATTCCAGGGCCTCTAGTGCACTCATTTCAGATGGCATCCATGAGGTCAGTAGACCAAGATCATCGTAGGATTCAAAGCATCCTAACAAAACTAGCTTATGAACCATTACCACATTTCCCATCCATGGATTCTATGAAAATATTGATTTGGAACTGCCAAGGGGCAGGAAACAACACCTTCAAGCGCAACTTAAGATAACTCATCAGAACTCATAAACCTAAAATTCTGGTCCTCATGGAAACAAAAGTTACATTTAGCTCACTAGGGAACTTCAACAATCTGGGCTTCTCCACCTCTACAATGGTTGATCCAATAGGTAGAATGGGAGGAATCTGGATGCTCTGGGACACGGACCACGCTAATGTTCTAACCTCTTCTGTACCTAGCCAGTATATTCAAGCTACCATCCACAGGGAGGACTGAAGATTGGATTTTTTCTGCAGTCTATGCTAGTCCCAATCCAGCAACCAGGGACAAATCTCTGGAAGGAACTAGAGAGGACAACTAACACTATGACCCAACCTTGGTTGCTGGAGACTTCAACGACTTCACTGACCTAAGTGAAAGAAAGAGCTTCTCCCCCAACCATAACTTTACCAGATCACAAAGATTCAGAGACAGAATCAACAATTGCAACCTCATTGACATGGGCAGTGTAGGTCCTCAACTTACCTGGACCGATAACAGACAAGGATTGGCCAACACAATGGAACGACTGGACAAAGCAATGCGCAATGACCAATGGCAAGCTCTCTTCTTTGAAGGCACTGTAAGGACTCTACCTCGCACATACTCAGAACATTCCCCCCTAGTGGTCTTCACCCAAGGTATGCACCCCTCTAACTCTCAAAATAGGCCTTTTAGATGTGAAGCTGCCTGGTTTTGTCACTCTAATTTTATTGATGTTATTCAAAATTCGTGGATTAATATGTCTAATAACCTATTAGAAGCCATTGGTACCTTTACTCACAATGTCAAAATCTAGAATAAAAAGGTTTTTGGAAGTATTTTCAAGAGAAAAAGAACCCTTCTCGCTCGCATAGAGGGTATCCAAAAAGCCCAAGCTCTTTCCTTTTCCCACAATCTCCATATTTTAGAAAAGGACCTGGTTAAACAATTCAACAACACCCTTTTTCAAGAAGAAATTCTCTGGTTTCAAAAATCTAGATCCAAATGGTTGACTATGGGGGATAAAAACACCAGATTCTTTCATATATCTACCCTTTAATAAAAGAAGGAAACTTAAAATTAATGTCCTTAAAGATGACGAGGGTAACTGGATTGCTAGAACTAATGACCTTCAAGCCCACATCATTGATCATTTTACCAACCTTTTCAAATATGAAGAGACTACCATTTTAGAGGATTGAAATAATATTGCTCAAACCAGATTCATTGTTGAAAATAATAATAGGCTCCTAGCCCCTATTTCTAACTCTAAGATTTGGAAGGCCATCAAAAACATCAAAGCTTTCAAAGCACCTGGCAAAGATGGCATTCAAGCTATTTTCTACCATCAACATTGGAACATTGTTGGCCCCTCCTTTTGCAATTTCATTAAGACCTGCTTTCATAATAAACTGGTCCCTCAGGAAATCAATGAAACCCAGATAGTTCTCATACCTAAACTTGACAACCCTGAGACCATTAAACAATTTAGGCCTATTAGCCTTTGCAATGTCACTTATAAGGCTATTACCAAGATCATTTTCAACAGAATTAGACCTCTCCTCCCTGACCTTATCAGTCCTAACCAAAGCAGTTTCATACCTGGTAGGACTACCATTGACAATATTATCATCACCCAAGAGATTATCCACACCCTTGGGTACAAGAAAGGCAAGTCTGGGGGTATGGTTATCAAAATTGATCTGGAAAAAGCTTATGATAGGATCTCCTAGGACTTCATTCAACATCCCCTTAAAGAATTTGGTCTCAATTCTGATTGGATTATCCTTATTATGAACTATGTTTCTACTGTTTGCTCTTCCATTCTCTGGAATGGTAAGACCCTTCCCAGAATAACCATGGGCAGAGGTCTCAGGCAAGGAGACCCTCTATCTCCATATCTTTTTGTCCTTTGCACGGAAAATCTCTCCAATATGATTAGAATTCACACTGATAGTGGCAGGTGGCAGGGCATTAAGGTTGCTAAGGATGGCCCTCCTGTTTCCCATTTGTTTTTTGCTGATGATCTCTTTTTGTTTGCCAAAGCTAATAATAGCAATTGTGATTGTATTATGGAAGTTCTCTCTGAGTTTTGTGATATGTCTGGTCAAAAAATCAACCTTCATAAATCCAAAATGTTTGTTTCCCCAAACCTCTCTAGAAGGGAAGCCCTTCCTCTTAGCCATAAATGTGGCATACCTTTAACTGATGACCTAGGTAAATACTTGGGCACACCCATTCTCCATTACAGAATGAACAAGAATTTCATCAAGGATATCATTGAGAAAATGTCCAAAAAACTTTCTGGATGGAAAGCCAAGAACCTGTCCTTAGCTGGTAGAACTATCCTGGTTAAATCTGTTAGATCTGCCATCCCTAATCACTTCATGCAAACCATGGAAATCCCCCAGGCAAGTGTGTGAACACATAGATAAACTGAATAGAAACTTCCTGTGGGGCTGTTTTGAAGGTGCCGGGAAAATTCATCTTGTTAACTGGAACCAAGTGTGTAAAAACAAGAAACATGGGGGGCTTGGTATAAGAAAAGCTAGAGAGCAAAATTCAACTTTCATTTCTAAATTGGGTTGGAAGTTAATTAGTAATGCTGAGGATCTTTGGTGCAAAGTTCTTAAATCCAAATACCTCAGAAAACATTCTATATTTAGTTGGCCAACCAAAAGAAGAGCCTCCCACACTTGGAAAAGCATTATCAAGAACAGAGATGTACTAGATAAAAATATCAAGCGGAATGTGGGTACAGGGGAAGACATCTCCTTATGGACTGACTGGTGGTGTGGATCACAGCCTCTTTGCAACAAATACCAAGGCCCTCATATTGATAATAGAGCGAAAGTCAGCTCTATTCTTGATGATGAAGGAAAATGAGATCTGTCTACAATTGAAGATGTCATCTCTCGACAAGACAAGGAAGAAATTCTCAATATATACAGGCCCAGGTATGTGACTTTCATAGATGGTCCATTATGGAAGGGCTCTACTACTGGAAACTACTCCACTGCAGCAGCCTATCAAGCCATATCAGGGCAAGATGACAATGGTGAAGATTGGCAGTGGCTGTGGAAGTTAAAAGCTCCCCCAAAAATCAAAAGCTTCTTGTGGCTGGCTGTGCAAGATAAACTCCTAACCAACCACAAGAGGCTTATCAGAAATCTTTCATTGACTAACAATTTGTCCCAGATGCCGGATCAGTAGGGGAAGACATCCTCCATCTACTCAGAGGTTGCCCTAAAGCAAAAACAATATGGTTACTTCTGAGGGACTCCAACTGGTGGCAAAACTGTATAACTACTCCCCTTCAGGATTGGATCAAAGCTAACCTTAAAAGTAAAGTGCAATTCAATGGAGTGCAATGGCCCCTAATCTTCATAGCAGCACTTTGGAGCATGTAGAAGGAGAGAAACAGAGTTGTTTTTGAGAACCACACCCAACCCCCGTCTGTCAGTGTCAAGCTCATTCTAGAGCAAGCAGAGGAAACTCAGCAAGCATTGCAGAACTTCTTGAATCCAAATTATACAAATCCAGCACTAACTAAATGGCCTTGTCCCATTGCAGGAAAACTCAAACTCAACGTTGATGGCTGCTCCAAAGGAGATCCAGGGCAATCAGGCTATGGTGGACTACTAAAAGATAAAGTCGGCTCCTGGGTATGGGGCTACCATGGTTACCTAGGCCATTGCACTAGCCTGCAAGCAGAAATTTGGGGCATCTACAGAGAATTGACCATCATTATGCAAAAAGGGTTGTCCAACATCACCATTGAAATTGACTCTCAGAATGCCATGGAAATGCTCAGAGAAGGTGCGGCCAATACTTCACCTTATCAAGCCATTGTTGAGGATGCTAAGTTCCTTATCAGCAGGTGCGAGTGTTCTATCCAGCATATCCCCAGGGAAGGCAACCACAGTGCTAATGTATTGGCCAACATTGGAGTTAATCAACAAGAACATCTAGTGTATCTAGAGAATCCACTTAGCTCTCTTCTCTTTGTTCTTATCACTGATATGGTGAATGCTAATTCTGGAAGAGATAGAACTATCCCAGGACTGCTCTGTTTGTAAACTCTATGTTTTAACTTATTCCTATGAATCAAAAAAGGAAAATGATTTTTGTTGGTTTAACAAAAAAATAAATAATGAAAACTGAACATATAGAAGAAAGCACTAAACAAAACAAAAATCAAAAAAACATGAAGACCTTTACAAAAATATCCCGGTATTAAACTAGCCTCATACCAAGAAAATATAATGTTCCTTGTAGTAAAAGATAAATTAAAATTGCACGTTTCTAAGACACAATTTTCTTTTTGTTTTTTTTTTAAATTTTTTATTCTGTTAGTTATACTTCCCAAAATAAAATAAAATAACATTTTTGAACAAGGATACATACAGTGATGATGAGACACAGCACTCTCGAGCAGTAAATCCTTTCATTAAATACTCTCCAGCACCACTAACGCAACAACCAACTATAAATGGAGCCCCAAACGGACCTTTTGAGGATGCCCAACAACCGGAGCCACAAATTGCTACTAATCCCACACGTCCACTTATCTGTTAAAAATATTTGAAGAATAAATTTCAAGTTTAGCCGAATAATGATCCATTTTAGAAATGATGTCATGCAAATTTCAACTTTTAGGTGTGAATTGTGATCGACTGAGGCATCAAATCTAAATAAAAGACAAGCCAGAAAAGCATTGAAAACAAAAAATGATGCCAAATAGGCCATTAAAAACTTGGTTAACTTCATCAAATGAGCTGGCTACCCAATAACCACTTCAAGGTTTCATTCACTACCAAGAAAAGCATTTCTTTCGCGTGGTTGTTGGGAACTGGGAGGACAAAATGTCACAAAGGAACTGATTTTTTTATTTTTTTTTAAAATCAAAGCCTCTGAATCCCCCTCTCTTTTTCACACACACACAACTTCGTACACCAAACCGTCAATGGCCACCAGTCAACTCCTCCCATAGTACACCAATTCAACCACCATCGCCATACTTAGGTTAATTTTTTATTTTTATTTTTATTTATTTTTGATAAATAAACAAACTTTATTAGAAAAGTATCAATATGATGCAAGGAATACAAAAATTCAGACCCCTAAGGAGAAAAGCTAAGATATCAAATCCTCTACAAAATTTACAAAAGTCAAAACATCCGGATCTACCAAACCCGTAACCCAATTATATAACACTGTGAGCAACCTTCTTTCCAACCAAGGAATCGAATGAGACACCCCTTGGAAAACATGCATGTCACGCTCCAACCAAATAAGTCACATTAAACAATGAGAAGCAGTCATCCATGCCTTCCGACACCTCCTCCCAACCCTGCCCCCAGCCCAACTTTGCAGAACTGCCAACACAAAACCTAGCTGCACCTAAACCAAACCAAAAGTCACAACAATGATCATCCAAAGCCGAGAAGTAACTAGAAAACGAACAAGCAAGTGCTCCACCGACTCAGAATCACCACAACACAAACAACACCAATTTGCCAAGATATGCCCACGCCGAATTAAATTATCAATCGTCAAGATACATCCTCAAGTTGCTGTCCACACAAAGAAAGCTACCTTGGATGGCGTGCCTAACAACCAAATACACTTCCAAGGGAATAAACCCGCGTCATCATGAACAAGTGCACCATAATACAATGACATGGAAAAGAGCCACTTGAAGCTTGGGCAAACCCAAACCATAGAATCCTCACCAACACCCCCAGTTTGCACCCCCTCCCAATCCTGAACATCTCGATGCAACCGCACATTCCAAACCACCACCTGTCCCTACCAAGTCCACACTGCGCCCACCAAAAGCTCGCAATCTTATGCAATCCCAAAAATCAAAGGAAACAACTGCTCCAAAAAGGTTATCACCACACCACCTATGATGCTAGAAATGAACTCTATCCCCCACCCATACCTTCAACCTAACCCTACTCCAAAACTCCTCCTAACGCAACCAAATTCCCTTCCAAACATCACGACTATGAGACTGCCCCACCCTACCTGAACACTACCCCTCTTTCCCCAAGCCAAACTTCGCCACAACCATCTTATGCCATAAATGTTCCCTCTCCCCCACAAAGCGCCACAACAACTTACCCAACAAAACAAGATTAAACATAACCAGCTACCGAACCCCCAAACCCCCTTTCTCCTTTGGCCGACAAACTCAATCCCAAGCCACCAAATGAGAGTGAGAACCCTCTCCCTCATCCCCCCATAAAAAGTCCCGATGCAACTTCTCAATCTGCTTCGCAACTGCCACCAAAATCATATGAAACAACATAAAATAAATAGGGATACTTGACAAAACACTCTTGATCGAAGTAACCCTCCCTCCTTCAGATAAATATTGCCGTTTCCATCCTGCCAGTTGCCGCTACACACAATCCACCATCCCATCCCACACCCCTCAGGCCTTGAAAGAAGCTCCAAAGGTAGACCAAGATATAAAATCAACAAAGATGCCACCTTGCACCCCAAAATTGCTGCGAAGACTTGCAGCCGCGTCACTTCTCCGATTGGAATCAATTTAGACTTTAAAAGATTAACCCAAAGACCTGACACTGCCTCAAAACACCATAGCACACACCGAAGATGGCCAATTTGATCAGCACCAGCATTACAAAATATAAGTGCATCGTCCACATAAAAAAGATGGGATACAACCAATGAGGTAGATCTAGAACCCACTTCGAAGCCCTGCAACAAGCCTCCATGAACCGCCCTCGACAACAAATGTCCCAGAGCCTCCATTACCAGTAGGAATAACATCAGGGACAAAGGATCGCCCTGCCGCAAACCTCTGTGCGTAGGAAAAAATCTTGCTGGGAAACCATTAACCAATATCGACATCCGCACCATGGATATACAAAAATGTATCCACAGCCTCCAAGTAACCCCAAAACGCATCATCTCCATCACATACAATAGGAACTCCCAATTAACATTATCATATGCCTGCTCAATATCTAGTTTGCAAATAATCCCCTCATTTCTTTGCCTCAATCTCGAATCCACACTCTCATTGGCTACCAAAACTGCATCCAAAATTTGCCTACCACCCACAAAAGCATTTTGAGAATCAGAGATCACCCCCTCCAGCACCCCTCGAAGCCGATACGCCAACAACTTGGCCAACAATTTATATACACTACCCAACAGACTGATGCGCCGAAAGTCACCGATATCCTCCGCCCCACACTTCTTTGGAATTAATGCGCAATAAAAGTGGCATTCAAGCTCCTCTCAAACTGTCCCATCCGATGGAACTGGTCAAACATGGCCATCACATCTTCCTTCACCACTCCCTAACAGTGCTGGAAAAAGGCAATAGAGAACCGTCTGGCCCAGGCGACTTATACCCAACCATACTCCGCAGCGCCTAAAACACCTTTTCTTCCGTAAACGATCTCTCCAGCAAAGAGCCATCAACCTATGAGATCGCATCAAAATAGACCCCATCCAACCTCCGCCTCCAAGCTCCCTTATCAGCCCGAAATAAATGCTCATAGAAATCCACTATGGCCCCCCTAATCTCCTTCGAAGATGATAACTCTACCTCATTCACCCGCAATCTCCCTATTTGATTCACCCGCCAATGCGCATTAGCCATACAATGAAAAAATCTCGTATTTCGATCCCTATCCTTCAACCACAAGCATCTCGATTTCTATCGATAGCTAATCTCCTCCATACGAGCTACCTGCATAAATTCCTTACAAGCCACCTCCCGACGAACCACATTCTCTTCAAACAATATCCCCGCTTCCTCCCTCTCCTCCCACCCCTGCATAACTGGTAAAATATTTGCCTTTTAAGTCTCCAACTATCCAAACACCTCCGTATTCACTACCTCAAATCAGACTTGAGAAGCTTTAATTTCTAACCTAGGCGACAATTGGGATCCCCAAGCACACTATAACTGCCCCACCACCCCCGCACTCCTTCAATAAAACCTTCAGAAAAAAGTCACATTCTCAAAACGAAATGGCATTGATGCACTCCTAATCCCCCCACTATCCAATAGAACTAGCCAATGATCCGAAACAGGACGATGCAACCTCAATTGTGTCACCTGTGAGAAATGCTCCTCTCAATCTCCAATAACCAAAAACCTAACGATACGGGACATCGCTCTGCCCCCAGGCTAAGTATATCCACCCCCCCTAAAGCGGCAAATCCACCAATTCCATCTCATCAATAAACAAAGAAAAAGCCCACGTAGATCCTAACACTGAGCTCGCTCCCTGCTTCTCCTCCATACACCACACCACATTGAAGTCACCAACCACACACCAAGGAACCCCCTAGCAAAAAGCAATGCATTGTAACTCCTCCCAAAAAGTAGCTCATTCCAAAACTCTCACGGGAACCATAGACCCTGGTAAAGGCCTGTCGATAATCATCTGCAACACAACAACAAACACGATAACGAGAAAGCCCCCTACTCCACATCCTCCTTCTCTACCACTCGCCGATCCCAATGCAGAAAAACACCCCCTGCCACCCCGACGCCGGTAAGAAAGTCCAATCCACAAAGTGGCCCCCCCAAAGCTCCTTAACGAACTCCCCCTCCCCCATGTATTCCATCTTTGCTTCCTGAAGACACACCACATCCGCCCTGACACTTCTTAGCAAAGACCGAACCAAGACCCTTTTCCTCCTATCATTCAACCCATGCACATTCCATGACAAAATTTTCAGCTACATAGCAACATCATTTGATCTCCTCGGCTCTTTCTAACACCGCTCCCCACCCTTCTTTTGTCCCGATCATAATTTATAGAGCATTCTAATTTACACAACTCCCTAGTATTCTTTCGTTTTTGTCCTCTAGTTCGCGCCTCCTTTCCTAAGGAACACCCTCTCTCCAGGATTCCTCTATTGTAGAAAACAATTTTAAAGCCTCAACTTCATGACCCTCAAAGGAAACACCCAAATATTGACCAACCTCATTAATACGGGATAGCACCCAGGCTAATACCTCCTCTGGTTGCAGAGGATCAGTTCCTTGAAAGTCCACATCTATTGCAGGCTCTTCATCAACGTCCACCTTATCCACCATATTCGTCTCAACAGACACTGCCTCTGGCTGAACCACCATGGCCATCTCGTCTGCCTTATTTGCCCAACGAACGTCGTCATCCCCCTCCACTTCCGTGCGCCCATCACAGCAAGCCGACGTATCCCAAAAAAGCTCCTCTATCATCGGCAACCCACTACACGATGATAAATCCACATCCACAACACAATCAGCCTGTCGAAAGTTCGACAACGTCCTCCTTGCAAGCCCCGAATGCTCATGCAACTTCGACAATGACCCTACCACTCGATCAGTCGACTGTCATAGCCCACTTCCGTCGCACTTCGACGTTGAAACAAGATTCACATCTGGATTGCTTTGCTTTGACGCATCTAGGTTGGATTGACCCAACCCATTAGACCTTAGCCTACCAACGTAACTCCTCTGGCCTAACAAGTTGATCCCATGGCCCAACTCTCCCCCACCTCTTTATTAGCCCCAGTCTGTTTGCCCACATCTTGGCCCATAACTTTTTGGGCCTTAAATTGACCCAGTGAACCATCTCCCTTAGTCCTCCAATTGGGTCTCACAAGGATTGACCTACCCCATTAGCCCTCACTCTTAAAAGTCCTCCCAAATCTTTGCAGATAATCCTCCACCCCCAAATTATGCGACTTACTCTGATCAAATCTTCCCAAATCATGACCAACCAAATCCAACCCCGCACCATCACACAACCCTTCCGGCGACAAAACATGAACCATTGATGGACCTACCTCCATCCACACTAGAAGAGAACTCCCACGAACCCCACTGGACAAAAATTTGTGGTTGTGTAGATTCAGAGTTCCGAATTCTCAATCGAACACAGCCCAAATCAACTAAGGACTAGTCAGCCTCCACACCAATTGCTAACATCACGACACACCTCTTCGCGACAAAGATGTAAAGGTAAGCCCACCAAACCTAAGAAGCATGGACACGGACATGGACACGTGACACGACACGAATACAACATAGACACGCCGACATGTGAATTTTCAAAAAATGCAGGACACGAATGTGGGGCACACGCATGAAATATATAATTTTATATATTTATTATATGCTATATATATAAATATATCACTCAAAGATAATAAAAAAAAAAATTCAATATAACACTAATTCCTATAAATTTATATAGATTTTGTTTTATTATTATATCTTAAGTTGTTTTATTCAAACTTATAATTAGTTTCACGTGTCTAAACGATAGACACGTGTGTTTAAGCGATTAGCACGTATGTCTTCCAAGTGTCCAAAGAGTGTCTGGGCCTTTAAAAAAATTTAAAAATAGGACATGTTTTGAAGAGTGTTGGACACGTGCCTTAAGAGTGTCTAAAAAGTGTCGGTGTCCGACACAGACACGACACGGATACGTTACCTTCTTAGAAGTGTCTGTGCTTTTTAGCTTCAAATGAATCCAAACACTTTTCTCTGAAGTTGGCGTCTAATTGGAGGCACAAAGAGCCAAAGGCGACCACCATTCCAACCTCAGATCACTCCCATCGACAGTCCACCTTCGCCATAACAACGATTCCACTTCATACCACGTCGGAAAAACAAACAAGAACACCTAGCCCCCTAACGGTCGCACCTCCACCTGCCCTGAGATCTTCCACCAATGTCTTACCCAATCACACATGGCCCCAAAGCCCACCCCCTTATCACCTCTCCCTCCCACCTTACCCACCAAGTATCTGTCCAGCAGCCCGAAACCACCCCATCTCAAAACTTAGGTGTCACAAATTCCCCATCAGAGACACACTGGTCAACTTGACCCACCGGTGGTACAACCTTCACCAGAACCACCTTTCCATACATCCCACTAGACCATTTCACCCACCCATCCCCCAGTTTGAATTCTTCCATAACCAACGCAACTCCCTCCTAACCATCCCTAAAAGTCGACATGGGTATGAAAATTTGCTCCCTGCATGGTCCAATCATCACCATGACTTGCACCGAGGACCCTCCTCTTACCTCCCCAAACCCATGCTACTAGACTTCGATGACCCAAGAATTTCAGACTGCTTGGAGCTTGCGACGCCACCCTCAGCTTCCTCACAATCCAACATACTTCAAATCCGATGAAAACCACAACCCGCCGAAGCCCCTTTCCCCTTTCCACAATCAATAGACTTCGGCGACCTATCGAGTCCACCGACGACTACTACTCAAACGAGCAACCGCTAAGGAAAAGGATTCACCGGCGTGGACTAGTTTCTTTTGCATTAGGTAACATTATTCACTCCTAAAATCTCGGAGCCAATTTTGGGAAAAAATCTCTATGTTTGTTTGCATCCCCATGTGTAAGAAAGACCCTTGGGTTTATTAAATAAGAACAATAGAAAAATAATGATACAATTTAAGGAATTGAGACAAATAATATAGAAACTCTTTGGATATATAACAAGAAAATGCCACAAAAACAAAGCAGATAATCACCTTCAGTGCAATGCCACCACTTGAAGCCCCACATGCTATATGTCCTTTAGTGTCAACACAAATATCCCCAATAGCATCTTCTGACACATTCAACGTACATAATTGACCATGATCCCCATATGTCTTCAAATGATCACATGGCAGAACTTCTGTTTGTGGAACACATGCAAAAACGTTCATAAATTCAAAATAAACTTTAATAAAACAGCCCAACCATAAAATAGAGAGAGAGAGAGAGAGAGAGAGAAGATAAAGTAATTGACATACTTATCATGGTAAAATATTTAGTTGTGAATACCAAAAACAAACCAATTGCTACTAATTTTTTTCAATCTAAACCTTTTTGATGAAGATACCCTTTTATCTATGGGATAAATTACACTTTACCCTCTTGAACTAGTATCACCTAATATCACTTTACCCTTCAACTGAAAAATGCTACATTTGCCACATTGATTTACAAATTTGTATCAATGTAAACAATTTATTTCTTAGATAAATGAAAATTTGACATGTGATTTGCACATGACATCTCAAATCAAATGCCTAAAATAACATCATCAATTTGTTTGGTTTAGTATTTAAAAATTGTTTTTGAGCTTTTTATTTTTCATATTTTTTTTGGTCTTCAGTGAAACTCCTCATATTTTAGTCTCTTTTTTTTTTCTTTTTTTTTCATTTTTTTGATCTAAAAAAAGTTCATTAAAGATGAAAATACATTAACATACTAGTTTTTTTGTTTTCCATTTTCTATTTTTTCATCTTTAGTAAACTTCTTTTAGATTTCCTTACAAATATTTTACTTTTTAGGTGCATTTAAAAGTTAAATTTTTTTTTTTACTAAAATATGAAAGAAAAAGTTTTACTAAAGATCCCAAAAAAAAAAAAAAAACCACAAAAATCAAAAAACTCAAAAACTATAATTGGGTTTAAAAACCAAAGAAAGTATAAAAAATTTTAGTTGAGGGGGTTAGAGTGATATTGAGTGATAGTTGAAGGGGATAATGGTTTTGGATAAAAAAAAAACAACGCCCAATAAGTACACATTAATGTGTGTTTGGGAGGGGAAATATTCAGTACACACCTAACCTTTAGCATAATATGTAAAGTGGTGGTCCCAAGACTTGAACCCATAACCTCAAGCTATGGTCGTGGATACCAAATAAAAAATGAAATTGACATATTTAGCATGAACATCCTCCTCTCTCAAACATATTTATCATGAAACAAGTAATTGACATATTCAGTTATGGTACACCACTTAATTATTGCCAACTTTGGGAGGTACGGGAATGTTCTATTTAAAATCTAAATGGCATGGAGTACCTGATAAAGCAGCATTTGCTCGAGTGCTAGAAGAAAGTTCTCCATCAATTTCTGCTTTCATGGCTTTTGCATCATCAAGCATTGATTTGTATTTTTCCCACTGTCTTTTTGCCCTCTCTGTAACCAGCCACTGTTTCCAAAAGATACACAGCAAGTATGATAACTAATTCAAGAATAAAGAACAGATTACTAAAGAAATTTAAGACCAACGTATTCAAGAAAAAATATTGATATATAGGGAAATGGAAATTTAGACAGATATGGCAGAAAACTAAGAGAGTTTACCTAATCAGCCTCTGGTATACTTGCCGGCAAAGGAATACCCTTGGATTTTGCCCGCATACATGCACCCTCACCAACCAAGAAGCTAGAAACACAAAAAAATGCCTCATAAGAAAACAAAAATCTGAGGGAGAACAAAAATCCAATTTGACATGATGTTGAAGTAAGAAACTAATTTATCTCCTCAATAAATCATTTCTTTCAGATTTTGAATTAAAGACCAAATCACTGTAACTAATTTCACCCATTAACCTTCATGGTTTCACTTGATTTGAGTTTTACAAGTACTAAACATGTGTAGAAGGCAGATTCATATTCACTATTCGCACATAGTATGCATTACATAACATCTCTAACAAAATAATGTTGCACTACTCGTAATTCCCAATGAAAAATCCCCAACTCCTAACTCATAGACATGAGATATACAATCAAAAGAAATAAATAATTACTGTGATAATGCTGCCAGAAAGAGGTAATTTGTATATCAAAATTCAAAGATAAACAAAGGTGTAATCATACATGGGAGGTATTCAACCCAGCAGTGTTGACCCCAATATTTGTTCCTTGGCCAACAAAGCAGCAATTGGATACCATTCCAGACACCTGCTGATTATTAACTTCACAGAAATGAAGAGCATAAAAGGAAAATGAAAGCTCCATAACATTATCAAAGCCAAAGAATAGAAGAAATTGCAGCTCACAACATAAAAACTTATTTACTTATTTAGAGTATGGTTTCCATTAATTATACTTCAGGAATACCTGGCACCACTCCAACAGCCCGAAATGCCCCAGAATCACCATCCATGATACTGGCATCACATTCCACATGACCATCTTCAGTCAAATTTAGCCACACCCAGCATTTGTGCTTGGATCATCCTTTAAAGAAACAAACTTCATCAATAATGAAATTCACAATAGCTAGACAGAATTCAGAAGAGAAACACTATCAAAAAATTTCCACTGCATGAAATGGCTCTTTCCACATCAAACAGATAGGAGGAATGTTCTAGGGCCATATCTAACACACCCAACAACCCTACAACATCAAAGCCCAACCATCCCCCTAGGGCATTGTATTGGTCCCCTTAAGTTTGAACCAATCCAACGATCCCAGACAGCCCATGTACCACTAGCTTATGTTCATCCAAACCAATTATTGCACAGCTAAAATGTCATTGAACTATCTTGTAGTTTCAAATGTGTAATTCCATCTACCATATACAAGACCAAAAATTTCACAAAATACTAAAGAAAAGAACAATCCATGAATTTCAGTTAACTATTGACATGACTTTAGAGTCCACGTTGTAAAATTTCTTACTTTTTTCCACGTAATCCAAGTTGCATGTAAGCATCCTATACAAAAGAAAATAAAGAACTCTTCGTACCACCCACTACTATTACTTTTCAGCTTTGTAGCTTTAAAACAGATTAGTTTCCAAGCAAGTGACATGCAGAAGATTGGCTTGGTTGCGTTGTTGCACAAGTAGAGCATTTAAAAGTCCCATCCACAAACCCAACCCACTCTCCCCACCAAAAAATGTATAAAGTATTTTGGGCTCTATGCATCTCATCAAATAAGAAATGTCTCAGTTATAGGCTGCTTCCAAAATCAAATCTTATTTCTAGTATGTCATCTTGATCATGGTTGCTCAACTGTTATCTGCCAATCAAAGTGGTATTATGATGAGCCTTCATTATGCAATCTTCATGTGAGCTCTAGGGGCCATTCAATTTTAATATCAACTCCACACAACTACTTGTTGACTGCATTAAGTCACCAATATAGTAGCAATAAGAGATTCTAGGACAGCAGCATTAATGAAGCAGCAATCTTGATTCATGCTAAGCTCAGGATGACTTGGGTAAACATTTTTGTCTAGCAGACAAGATAATACAACAATAAATAATCACTATAAGACAACTCTGAAGTCTAAATACAATACTTTGAAAAGGAAGAGGAAGAAAAGGACCTTAGAAGCATATAATTCCAACAGAGATTCAGAAGCAACCCTACAGCAACATATCATCCTCTATTGATTTGGACATAGACAAAAGATCGTGGAAAACAAATAGCCAAGACAGGAAAATCAAGTCAATTTTTGTTCTAATTTGTGCTTTCCTTTTATTGTTTTCTAAGGGTGGATTGTTCTTGAAGTAAAAAAACAGTAAGGATCATTGATGTGCAGATGAACCATTGCCAAGCACAATGTAGTTACGAGGCATAGCCTGGGGTTGTGGTTGATGAAGAGAAACTAATTTATTTTTTTCAAATTAAAAGTTGCTTTGAAAATAAATATAGAGTAGCTTTTGTTTTTCAAAGTCTCTTAAGTTTAAAGGTTCATTAAGATCCATAATTTTTTCTAGCTTCAAAATATAAGTGATTTTAAAAATTTTCTTTTAGTGAACCTGCGCCTGCATTGTAAAGCAAATCTAGCAATATGGAAATTGCTGAGCAGCATCCAGAAAATCCTCTTAACCCTTATTCTAATCTATATTGTTATATTAAATTTACATCCCATTCGGTAAAGCCTACTTCCAAAGACATGTTATATTTTTTTTATTTCCAAAAAAGTACAAAGGGAATTGATTAATTCATTTGTGTAAGAATTTTTAAAAATATAAATCAATGAAGACAGTTGCAATAATTCATTAAAAAATAAATTTCAAAAATCATACGATGAGATAAGTTCATGCCCATAGTGCATGACATCCTTCTAGTTCATTTAGAATGAAAAGTTCTATTTTCCACCACTAACGATTATTTGCATGCTCCAAATTTCTATAGATTCAACATTGTAACTTACTCAAGACAATCAACATCCAACACAAAGTAAATCTTTAATGCCTCAAATAAAGTACAGCATAGCAACATAAACACGCAGAATCTATTATACACAGGCTCTCTCTCTCTCTCTCTCTCTCTCACACACACACACACACACAAAGAAACAAGCAGCATACCTCCAAGACTTGTATTGCAGCTGAAACAGCATCTATACACCCACCAGGACCCTAAAACATAGCAAACAAACAAGTGCATTAAAGGGTGTGTGTTCAAAAACAAAATCACAAAACAACCACATAACTAACTTTAATATTCTTTATATTTGGTATTAGAATTGATATAACAACTGTGAATTAGTATTTTATATTATTCATTAAGGGTAGTTTAGTCATTTAGGTTATTAGGGTTTTATTCTATTTAGATTATATATTTGTACTCAGCCCTTTTGGTTGATTAATTCAGTAGTCACTATACAATATTCTTCTTCTCTGTTATCATGGTATTAGAGCCACAACCCAGACGCTAGAATACCTGTCGCAGGCCATCATCGACCATCGTAGTCCCTTTTCTCTCTTCGCAAGGCCGTCATAGCCCTTTCTCTCTCTTTGCAAGGCTTTGCTGGGGTTCTCTATTTTCTTCTTCACACTTCGAAGCACTTTACTCCTCCTGGTAGCTAGTTCTGGTCTCTGCTTCAGTCAGAAACCTAGGTTGCGTGTCTCACACAGCCGAATGCTCTTTAACCTATTTTGACCCCTCAACTGGTTCATCTGGTTCGATCGAAGCTCTCTCTGTCTGGTTCGATCGATTCCCCTATGTGAATCTGGTTGATGATCTCTCTGTCTCTCCCTTTGGTTCATGCGATCAAAGTAAGGTTTGACCTTGCCACTCGATTTCGCTCCAAACTTTGAAATTGACTTCGAATTCGACTTCTGGCTCAATCTCTTAGCCTCGGTTTCTCTCTGCTTCTGGTTTCGGGTTCACTCTCTCTCTCTCTTCTTTGACTTGGTTCTCTCTTATTGATATTTGTGGGTGATTGGTTCTCTCTCTTAGTGGTTATTATATTTGTGGTTCTCTCTCTTAGTGGTTTTTTTTCAATCTACTTTGATTTTATTGTGCTATTTAATTATAGCAATATAACTGATGATAAACTGCAAGGTATCACCACTAAGTTGGATGGTACCAATTACTCTTATTGGTCTCATGTAATGAAAAATTTTATAATAGGTAAAGGCATGTGGAACTATGTTATTTGTGTGACTATTAGACCTATAGAATCCAAAGAAATTAAGACCGATGTTGCTAAATGGGATAAGGAAAATGCTCAAATTCTTACTTGGTTTCATAATTCAATTCAAACTACCATTGGCATGAATTTTTCCAAGTATTCTATTTCTAAACAAGTTTTGGACTATTTGAAAACTATGTACCTTGAGCCTAATTTTGCAAAACAGTATGAACTTGAGATGTCTATTCGCAGCACTAGTCAGAAAGATAAGTCCATTTAGGAGTTCTACAATGAGATGACTACTTATTGGGATTAGCTTGCTTTAACGGAACCATCAGATTTGCTATTACTTGACAGTTATACTAAGTATCGGGAGAAGCAACGTCTTATTCAATTTCTTATGGCACTCTGTGATCAATTTGAGACACTTCGGAGAGCTATTCTTCATCGGTCCCCCTTGCCTTTTATGAATAGTGCTGTCTGTGAGCTTATTGTGGAAGAAACTCGATTCAAGGTGGCTCATGGTGCTCCTGCTTCCCAGACAGTTTTTGCCACTCTTCCGCTCTAGCCTACCCCACCATCTTCTTTATTTCAGGTTACCGGTAAGCCTAAACCTCGGGTTTCCATGGATGAATGCAGCTTCCGTCATCAGAAAGGCTATTGGAAACATGCTTGTCCTAAACTTTTGCAGCCCAAGGGTCATTCGTCTAGTCCACCGTCCTCTAAGCCGAAATCTTCAAGATCTCACTCATCTGCCGCCTTTTCTGCACCAATTTCTGAGAATGGTCCGTCTTCTAATATGTAGTCTATGTTTGAGCAATCTTTCATGGTGGCCAATCCAAATCTTTCATCCCAGGCCTCTGTTATGACTACCACTCAGTTAGGTTTGTCTGGTTTATCTTCTTCAAGTAATATCCACACTTCGTGGATTTTTTATTCTGGTTGTTCACATCATATGACCCCTGTTGCATCTCTCCCCTTCTTCTATGCTTGTACACTATTGGTTCTATTTCCTCTTCTCGTTTGTCTCTTTCTCCTGTATTTTATGTGCCTCACCTCTCACTCAGTCTTATTTCTGTTAGTCAATTATCTGATTCTACCAACAGGGGGTTGGTTCAATAGATAACACCTTAGAATCCCTCGCTCAAGGTTTGAGTTCGAGTCTCCATAACCCCTTGTTGGGGTTAAACATACTCTTTAGCGCCTGGAGTACGTGGGGGGCCTAAGCTTTGGCCCTGACGTAGATGCGGTGGGGTTCCTTGTAGATATGTTGTAGATGCTAAGGGGTAACACTCCCTCGCGGATATGTTGGAGTAGCCTATCTGCATATCCATCTTTGTAATCAAAATTATCTGATTCTGGATTTGATGTTGTTTTCTCTTTTTCTCATTGTGTTGTGCAGGATTGGGTATCCAAGAGACAGAATGGGATCGAGCGTAGAGTTGGAGAACTATATATCTTGGACAGCTTGCATGTTCCTCTAGACGTGTCTTCTACTGCATTGTCTTCCTTTATTTTAAACAATAAGTCTTCTTAATTTTATATTTGGCATTCTAGGTTAGATCATCTGTCAAGTGACCGTTTAAGAATGTTAGTTCGGTCTAGACATTTAGGCAATTTTTCCATTGATGATATTTCGGACTATCGTGGTTGTAAACTAACTAGAATGTCTGCTCTTCCATTGAATAAAAGTAGTTTTATTTCATCTTTCCTTTTCAATTGGTTCATACTAATGTTTGGGGTCCTTCCCCTATAGTTACCAAGGGTGGTTCGCAATATCATGTGTCTT